AGCTCCAGACTGAAGACATGATCTTGCCAATGAATGGAGAAGAGAGAACTCATGTGAAATTTCTCCAATTGTTTGATGTATGTACAGAGTCCAGGACTCATAGGCAGAGCTGCAGAGTCACTTATACAGTGGGAGGGGCAGCTTATAGGTTTGGTAAATAAATCCATATAGGAGAGAAGAGATAATACAGCTCTGTAGATTTTCAGCTTTGTGGAAATAGAGATATTATGCTGATTGAACATTCCAGGATGCAACCGCCCCTCGATCTTGGCTGGCCTTGCTGATCCTGAAGTTAATTTATCTGAAGATCCATCACTTAAAATGATGCTTCCAAAGTATTGGTTATCTGGATATCATCAACAGTGATTTTTTGTTTTATATGGTTGATACATGGCATGGGCAGGTAAAGTACTTCAGTCTTGTTCAAATGGATAGTCAGGCCAAAGATTATAGCAGCATCTGACAATTTGTTCAGCATCAACTATAGATCACTGTCTTTGTGCACCAGGAACAGTCATCAGCAACAGGGTTTCTTGAATGATTATATGGAGACATGTCCCTGCATTCAAGCAGAGATTAGAAAGCCATCTAATCAGTATATGATGTACACGCCTTTCTTCATACTCTGGACAGCATGTGACAACATGCAAGCAAATAATAGATTGAATAGGACTGGGGCTAGGACACAACCATGCTTACCCCCCAGTAGAAATGGCAAAGGAAGTTGATGTAAAGGACTGGTCCTGTCACTCTGTTGTAGAATAGCTGAATCAACTTCATGCATTTCCTCAGGCATCCATAATCATTGATATATTCAGAAACTGTGTGCATGGCTGGGTGGCATACCTGTCCTCACTTTCATCAGCAGAAACTGCCTTCTCTAACAGAAGTATGGTCTTAGATTTAACCTATAATTCCAAGTTTTTATAAGCTACTTCTGTATGGCATTATCTTTAAAACTCAGTGCTACACAATATTCTTGAAGACCATTTTAGTTTTTAAGCAGCATAACCTATAACTGGATTCCAAAAGATAAGTTATAGCTAGATAAGAAAAATTGGTTGAGACAAAGACATTGAATTGAAATTATTCAAATATTAATACTTTTGATGTGAAGGATTCCCTTCATATTTCAACAGATTTCCACATTTAAAATAGACCAATTTGTCAGATGAAAATAATCCTAAATCTTTCAGAAGTACATGTGTTCTTCCTCCTGGTATCCTCAGCTGCGATGCAAAGGGACTCTTACCTGTTTCCTGCACAACTCAGCTACAAAAGAAAACCAAAAATGTCCACAAGCGAATGATGGGATGCAGTGTTTACTAGCTGACTTCCACCAATCATGATTCCTTAACCTACAAGCAGCAATTCTGTATGATTTTAGTGTAACAGGACTGCAAAGAGAAAAGTACTCAAGAGGGAAGGGAGGGGGCAGGATTTATGGTGGTATTTATTTATTCAAATTTGTTATAGCCCAATTCAAATGGATTCTGGTTGATGTATAAAACTGAGTGTGCCCACTCACTGCCCATTCAGAAGCTGTCCATCGTAGCCAACAGACTTGGATTTCAGAACAGAACCTTTTATCATTCACCCACTTTCATTTTATAGGAATACATATGCAATCAGGAGTAACCTGAAATTATACATAGACAGTGAATGAACCAGTAAGATGCGTAAAGCATTTCTCTGTTTGCTTTATGAGGCAAGAATTACTCACTATTTCACCAAATACAGAGGATATGGTAGGTGAATTGAGAAGAAGAATAGAGAAAAGGGGGTGGGGGGAGGGAACAGACTAGGGTAACAAGCCACTAACTAAGAGGCCAGGATCAGATTGGAATGGGTTTATTGCTATTCAAACCTGCCCCACAGAACTGTACTTCTCCCGCTGCATCTGGCATCCTATCTTGCATACCACATAATCCCCAAAAAGTTGATACAGCCTTCTCAATTATTGATGATGCAACTGGATAGCATGCTGCCATCTGCTAAAATTCAAGAGGGTCTCATGATTGCACCAGTTTTACATACAATTATATAAATAAAACATTTTAGACCATTCTACAAAATGTACCTTGAAACCTATTTTTTAAAAATATATTATTTTAAAATAATTTCCAAATAATTTAAATGTTTAATAGTCTTTTCTCTTCTTCCAGAGTTTTCAGAAGAATGTTTACTTTTAAATGAAAAGGATATTATACTTACAAAATTGAAAGTTTATCATTTGATATTCTCATTATGAAGTACCTTATAAAAAAAAGTTAGTTCCATCATTCCAACATAAGACTTGCTGAATGTTATGGTAAGAGGCAAATATAGGAATACAAGTAGAGCAAATGTACTGGTATTTGAAAATAGAAAATTGTAGTGTCTGTACAAAACAAATCTGTTTTCTTTTTACTTTCATTCATAGGTATGGCAGCAATTCTAATAGTGCATACCAAGTAATTAATATTGCTAAATAAAATGAAAATTCAAACAAAACCTCAAATCCTAGGAGATAAGCCATATTATTTTTCAACCAATGTAAGTTGTTTGATAATAAATTAATCTATCTTGAAATATAATTTCATTTAAAATCCAAACTTTTTACATCATGATCAAGCTCTTCATACAAACTAGATCAAACAGTAGTTTCACCAAGTTATTAAAAGCAAGTACATCAAGGTATAGATTCTAGGACTGGGTGCATATCCAACTGCTACAATCTTTTATGTTCCCCAAACCAACCCTCACCCAATTACTCTGTGTTCAGAATTAAGTGATACAGGTAGTCCTCGATTTACAAGCCACAATTGAACCCAAAATTTCTGTTCTTAAGTGAGACATTTGTTAAGTGAGTTTTGTCCCATTTTATTTTTCTTGCCACAGTTAAGTGAATCACTACAGTTGATAAGTGAATCACTTTTCTCCACTGCCTTTGCTTGTTGGAAAGTCGCAAAAGATGATCACATGACCTTGGGACACAGCAAGGGTCATAAGTATGAACCAGTTGCTAAACATCTGAATTTTGATCACATGATCAAAGGTCGTAAGTGTGGTCATAAGTCACTCTTTTCAGTGCTGCTGTAACTTTGAATGGTCACTAAAGGAAGTGTTGTAAATCGAAAACTACTTGTATTCCACAGAAATTACCAATTTGCACGCTTGATTCCTGCCTCAAAGGACATCTTCCTTTAAAAAATATAGAAAGCTAAAAAAAAATACATCCTCAAACCATCATCCACTATACTGCTTACCATAGAACAAGCAAGCATGTATAAAATAGATGGCCCATTTGTAACTAAATTTTTGCCACAAGTCAGGTGTTGGTAATTTATCTGAACACTTAAACATTTGACTTACAACATGTAAATCACTTAGAAATCAATCCAAATACCATAAAGAGTTGTGGAAAGAGAAATATAAGAAACCTGTGAATAGCCATTCTAATTTCTATATTTGGATCAGATGGATAATCTGTTAGCTATCCTCACCATCCATTAGTCTCTCCATCTCTCCCCTCCCCCTACCACATTTGTTCAAGTCTGCCCATTTCAAATACTGACCTTGAAACCATTTATCCAACCTGAGAATTCTATATCCAATCAATGATGATTAGCAAGATGCTTTCTAAAAAGCCATATGGGAATATAACTTTTGTAAGACTGCTCATACAAAAATGTGCAGCATATACTTCAATTAGCAATTAAATGAATACAGAAAATATTGCACCTTGAATCACAAAGCTATTATTGAATCAAGTATCTCAATTTCATCACAGTAATTAATTTTGGTTTAAAAATGAAGTACTGTGTGTTTAGCCTGCAATTTTGCAACCAATTGTAGCTGTACAGGCAATTAATTTATTTATTGGATTGATATGGCTGCCCATCTTTCAAAAAGAGACTCTGAGCAGCATACAATAATTAAGAAAAAAATATATGGAAGCAATCATTATTAAATATACAAACCAATCATTAAAAATAAAAAAGCACAGGAGAGAGTGGATGCTAACTACAATGATGGAGCCATCTTAGAATTTCACAGGTGCCCGGGGGACCCTCCAGCCTAATAACATAGCCAGGTCTTGAGGGATTTCTGAAACATTAGCAGGAATATATTGGGGGGGGGATTGTTCCATAAGATGGGTACAATAGAGAAGACTTGCTTCCTGTGACCTGCCAAGAATAGGATGGGCAGATGAAGGCAGCCCCTCAAAGAACCCAGTCCCAAATCATGAACTGGCTATAAAAGTTGCCAGTTTTTCCACATTTTAATTGAAGATCCTGCTTATTGTAGGATTTTCTGGCTCCAGAAAAAGTTGCACTTTCCTGAAAAATTAGTTTTTACTTTGTTAATGTGGTATTCTATTGGCACACATCCACCCAATAGAGAAATTTAAGTAAAAGCGAGGTCAACCCCCCAGCCCCAGTAAAGGGCAGAGCACTTGGTGATATTACTGAAAGAACAATAACCTCATCAAAAACCTTAATTCTTTTTTAACCTCTCATTTTAAATGGGAATAGTTTTGAAACAAAATCAAAACTCAAAAATCATATTTCACTCCTGACTGAAATATTTCTGTGCAGCCTTAATATATGAAAGGAAGAATTCAATTAGGTTCTCTCAACTGCCAGCTTTCCATCAGCAGAAAAAGAGAAGATGGTTTTTCAGCAATTCTATTTCCTTCCTAAAGTCCTTCAAACCTGCTCCACGTGGTCACTTAATATCTGAGGCAAAAGCAGGGAGAGGTGCAGAACAGCAGAGAGAAAAAAAGGGAACTGCTAAAAATCTACTCCTTTTCTTTTGAAAGAGTGTTTTCATCAACCAAAAGAAATTAACTGAATTCCAATTTAAGAGTTCAAATTAATGATTACTACCACATACATAAAAATAGGCTATATAAAAGTTTGGAAAAGTATTATCTTCCACACATGGCTTATAGGAATACTACCCTTGCCTTAGGCCTACCAACTCAGCATCAAAAAAACCAATGCCGACTCTAGTACCTGCAGCTCACACCAAGCAACCTCCACTGTGGTCTCAGTGTCTAGTCCCTTGTAGACAGTCTTGAAGGAGCCTCGGCCAATCTCAATGTCAAACTTCAAAAAACGACCATCTGGGGAGAAAGCCACGGCTTTGGTCTCCAGCTCTTCGATATCTTCTTGCTTCTTACTCCGCTCTTCCTGCAGATCCCGGGCCGAAGCGGTAACGCTTCCTGCCGTACTGGTAGGGGGCAGTGGAGCGGCTTCAATCCCTTCCTCCTTGGCTAATAAGGGGGTAACCTCCTTCGCTACCAAGAGCTCTGGACCAGACGGCACTTCTGCGGCTGGAGGCAGAGGTGCGGGCGGCTGTAGTAGCAACGCGGGGGGCTGGCTGGAGGTGACAGAAGCGCCGGCTGCCTGGATGACAGACTCGGGAGGAGAGCCCAACACGGGCGGGATGCTCCCTCGAGCAGAGGAGGCGGCGGCGGCGGTAGCAGCCGGGGGAGGCGCCGCGGGTTGCAGCCGCGGAAGGTCCAGAGCGGTCGCATTCGAATCGCAAATGACGCTCCGGCGGAAAAAGCGGTGTTCCGTGGCCGCCGCACCACGGCTGTCCTTGTCCATGGTATGCCGGCGTCGCCGGTACTCCTCGCTACGGCAATTAGCCCCTTCCGAACCTTCGGAGTCTCCCGGGGCGGACGACGTCCCCGCAGCGGCCACCCCGAGCTTCTCGCCAACGGAGCTGTCCGAACTCGAGCCGTTCTTGGGCGGGGGAGGCGGCGGGGCGAGGAAGCGAGGAGTAGCAGCCGCCGCCGCCGCCGCACCGCTCTCCGGAGCGCCCGCTGACATGATGTCGAAGGGGAGGCGCAGCAGTTGCCGCTGCAGCAGCTGACGCGAGGGCAGTCAAGGCGAGGCGGCGAGCGCGCCCAAGAGCTGCTCGGAAGGCGGCAGAAGCGGCGGCGGCGGTTCTTGGTGCTCTTGGTGTTGCTGCTGCTGCTGCTGCAAAGGCGGCTCCCGGAATCTCCGGGCGGCGTGGAGCGAGGCGACTCGTGGAGCGGGCTGGGCCGGCGGAGGCGGGGTGGATCCCCAGTCAGTGTCCGCATCCATCCTGCTGCAGCGGGGAGCCGAACAGCAGGGCCGACATGGAGGAGCAGCAGCAGCGGCGGCGGCGGCGAAGGTGGGGTGGGGGAGTCAGAGGAGGAAAGAGGCCGGGAAGGAGCCTTCGGCAGGCCCCGGACCAGCGGGGTGGGGTGCGCGGTAAGGGCAGGCCCGTGGCTGTCGCGGCCGCGCGCGTTCCGTCTCGCCCAGCTCCTTGCCTCCGTTGAAGTCCGGCTCAGCCGCTCGCCTTAGGCTCCTCCCCGGCCCGTCCTCGCCGCCGAGACCTCTTCCCTTCTTCTTCTTCTTCTTCCGTTCGTTCCCTCACGCGATGCCGGGACGCCCGCCGCCACCGCCCCTCGTTAGGGGGCTTCGTTTTTCAGCCCGAAGAGAAGAAGGCCACCCTCCGCTCCGACACCCGCCTGGCCTGAGGGAGTGGGAGGAAAGGCGGAGAAATCACCCAGAAGGGGCGCCGCGCCTGCCCTGCCCTCGCCTGCCACCGCCGGGGCTTCTTCACACGTCCGTCCTTCCCTCCCACTCGTGAGGAGAGTGGGGGATGGGCCTCTCACTGCCACCTCTCCCGAGTGAGGGGGAAACTGGCCGCGCTAAATGGCGACCGCCCCCGAAAGACGCGCGCACAGCGACACTCTTCTTCCCTCTCGCTCGCTTCTCTCCCTGTCCGCCAGAGAGCGAGAGACAGACTGCGAGGCCACGCCCCCCTTTTTCCGTCCGCACTCCACCACGCCTGCGTCAACGCCGCTCCTCCTCCCGGTCTGCCTGGGAGATGTAGTTCTTCGTCCGTCTCTGACGCCTCGAGCCACGGCGCGGCTTACACTTCCCATGATGCCTGAGGAAGAAGGCGAAGGCTTAACGTGCAATAGGAAAGTGGTACTTTTACGGGGTTTTTTTTTTTTTTCCCCAGAGATCACCTGATGCTTTTTTTTTTTCCCCCTCCCCACTTCTCCCTGCGTCTCACTGCATGCAATGAAAGTGCGACGCCAGTAGAGGACTACTGGCGGCTTAGGGAATCATTATCAATGGGTTCCTGCTAAAAAATTCAAAGAGTTTCCCATCATGCTTAGCTTCACTCTATTTCTTTTTTTTTTAATTAGAATGCAAACGTTAAAAATGGCAAATAATGTTTTTTCATGGATACGAGAAACGGTGGATGGGTTTAAAAATTTTGATTTTTTTGCAATTTATGTTGAATCAAACGATTTTCACTACAGTCACAGACCAGCATTACAAATAAAAGCTTTAAAAAAAACAGACAAAATATATTATGATCAATGATAATTAGAGTATCTGTTGGCAGTTTGTCTGCCTAATTTTGCTTTCAGTGTAACAAAGTAGTGAAACATTGTAATAAAACTACTTTGTAATTTATGTTGATTTTAAAACCATTATTTAGTAAAGCCTCAATCATGCTTGTATATTTTTAAAATCTGAACATAAATTTAGGTGCCATTTCAGTGTACATGGACTGTTTTGTTGCATACTAGTACTAACACACAATATTTTACTTTAGAGAATAAAAGAAAGAAATCTACTTTAAAGTTAAGGGCGTTTAGTAACCCTTCTGGGAACAATTTAGTAAGCTTGAGGTGGAATCTGTTAAAGCAAGCCAAGGTCAAATTAGATTGCTTAATCTTCTTCACATGTTAAATTGTGAATTAGTATTTGTTTCCTTTGATGGGTAATCTTCAGGAAAGAACAATAAGAATCTCTGCTCTTACTGGAATAAATACCCTATTCCAACATTGTAGGAGTAGACAGAGTTTAGTTTACAGTAGTCCAAAATCAGAAATAACCCAATAGCAGTTTATGCCTCTTAATCAAATTTATTATTTTAGAAAAGATGCTACCAATTCCTTCCTATTCCCACAACATATTTGAGTCAAAGAGGATTAGTACATTGCAGGATGCCCATTAATAACTTGCTCTACTAGGGAGTTAAATTTATCCCCCCCCCCAAACCACACCTTGGTCTGACTATTTTTACTATCAAGTCTTGAGGGAAACAAACTAAGACAACCTATTTAATTTTGTGAGAAAAAGCTGGAAAAAAGGAATTGACTAAGCCTGTCTATTACAGAAAACACAACTAAACCCTTGGCAACATAACATGCTTCCCAATAGAGTGACTGGCTACACTAATCAAGTTTTGCCTGCTGCTGTCTGTATCAATGTAAAAAGGGACTATGATTTAATGAAGCCTTGCCAGTATTATGCTGAGATTTGGTGTTATACTTCTACAGTTGATTAGCCCAGTTAGTTTGTGACCAAGTACTTACCAGTAAAACTGAATTGTTCTTATGCTAACAACAAGATCAGCCTTATAGAGTCCTTGATTTATTCTTATTGTGCCATATCCATCATCGGATGTTGGCAATCACATTGGTGATCCTATTTTTATCAACAGCCGTACAAAAAAGTGCTGTTGAGTTTTGTCCAAATCAGTCCCTTAGATTTTGAAGCCATGATGTTTTTCGTTTGCCTTCAATCTTTCCTTGGAGGATTAAGAGAAGTATGCCATATTTTTCCAGGTGTCACATGTCCAAAATATTCTAACTTTCGCTTTTTTATGGTTTTGATGATTTCCCTTGGCTTTCCCAGGCGGCTTATCACCTCCTCATTTCTAATTTTGTCAACCCAATTTATACATAACAGCCTTGACTTATAACCATTCGTTTAGTGACCATCTAAAATTACAGTGGCACTGAAAAACGTGACCTATGATTGATTTCACATGAGTTGTAGGATCCCCATGGTCAATAAGCAAAGTCAATGGGGGAAGCCAGATTCACTTAATGACCAAATGATTCGTTTAATTGTGGTTGTAAGTCAAGGACTACTATAGAAAAACTGTTTTCCTGAATTCCTAATTAAGAAGTGTCAATAGTTCATCCCTTGTCCGCTTTGTATTTTTTTCCCAAATCTAATTGCATTTTTTAATATAACTTTTACATGGAAAGGCAATATTTGGCTTTGAAAGTTGAATTTTGATGATTCCTTGGTGGCAATGTTACAGAATAATCACTTCTACATTTTTATTAATTTGCTCATTTACTGTAATGAATGTAGGGTATCATAGAATTGAATTCATTCTTTATTTTACCATTTCATCAGAATTTAAGACTTTGAAGTGGCTCACCCAGCCCATGTTTTATAATTAAATATTTTCTTGCTTGATGAAATTACAAAGATCTGTAGCTAATCCGGTCTGGCTTTTTTTTTTTCAGGCAAGACCCAAACTCTCATCTCACCATTTATATAGTGTTGCCTGATCCTCAGTAGATTTGTGAATGACCAAGAAATCAGGAAGAGGAGGCTATGTTTCAGGAATAGAAGTGCCTGTAATGCAAAGATTTCAAGATGAGTTTGTGATTAGAATTACATGCTAACATATAGGCAGCATACATGCTAACATAGATTAAACTAACTCTGCAGCCAATAGTGACTCTGGCAAATAGTGCTTCTGTACAGGTTTTTTTTTTTTTTTTAATTTGATTTATATGCCGCCCTTCTCCGGAGACTCAGGGCGGCTTACAATGCGTTAAGCAATAGCCTTCACACGTTTGTATATTTTTATACAAAGTCAGCTTATTGCCCCCACAAACTGGGTCCTCATTTCACCTACCTTAGAAAGGATGGAAGGCTGAGTCAACCTTGAGCCTTGGAGAGATTCGAACCAGCAGAAATTGCAGGCAGCTGTGTTAATAACAGGGTGCACTAAACCACTGTACTATCAAGGCTCTCTATCAAGGTTTGATGCAGGACAACACACGATTGAGTCCCCAGTTTCACTTTTTATTCCTCCAAGTATCACCTGCCAGCAAGAAAAACAAGCATACATTTCATGAAGAAAATCATGAAAGAACCATTCAACAGACAATCTTTGACATCAGAATTTTGCATATGGCTGTTATACAGCATAGTCAACTTAGGTGGCAGCTTATCAAGAAAAAAGCAACAGGAGATCATTTACAACTGGTACTCCAGTTCCAATCAGTGCAATGGAGATGTGATCCATTTTAAGTAAAATGCAAGGTCATTACTAACGATGATGCATTTTGATCGACATAAAACAATATCAAGTCAAGCACTATGCATGGTGTCATGGAATTTGTTTTGGACTTTTTGTTGTTGAACAGAGACCTAAAGAGCTTGGTGGAACAGATAGAAAATATGATTAAAATGAGTCAAGAATCATATTTGCTGATGACAAAAGCGAGAACGTGTCAGGCACAAGCAACCAGGTCCACACCTGTAGAATTCAAAGTAGCTACTTTATTGTGTTCTGCCTATAATACAGGAATATTCCCAGAGTGCTTTCCTTCTCTTGGGAACAAATATGTAAGGTCCCATGGAATTTAGGAGGAGGGTGGCCCTAAGTCTCTTGCAACTGCGCAATAACGCAAAGCTAATTCCCTGCTTGATCCCTCCTACTTGCCTGGCTGGCAACTTCCCAACAGGTGGGACAGCAAACATCTTAAAGAACATTGGGCTGGAACAATAAGCAGAAACCAGTAATATTAAATTCAACAAGGACAAATACAAAATTCTTCATTTGGTGGGAAAAAAATAAAAGTCATGAGTAAGGGGACAACATATAAGGCAGTATCACACACAAAAAGAACCTGCTGAGCATGAGCCAAAAGTGTGCAGAATGTTCAAGGACAAATGCAATCCTAATCTGCATTAACAGATGTATAGTATCAAGATCAAAAGTCATCATGGATTATTTTGAATTGGCCAGACCTCATCTAAAATACTGCTTACAGTTCTGAACACTGTATTTTAGAAACATTGATAAACTGGAACAAGTTCAGGGTAAAATAACTAATGATGGTAAAGCAAGGGTCTGCAACCTTAAATGCTCAAAGAGCCATTTGGACCCATTTCCCACAGAAAAGAAAATACTGGGAGCCACAAAACCTGGATGGGCATGGCAACTCAACGTCACTCACTTCCACCAGTCACATGACACCCCCCCTAGCTACGCCTACCCAGCCGGTCAATAGGGCAGAGAAGCAGTTGTTAAAAAACACCAGGAACCACAATACCCTTTTGACATATCTCTCTCTTTCTTCCTCTCTCCTTCCCTCCATCCCCCGCCATCGCCCTTACCTTCTCAGACCAGGCGAGGAGTGACTAGGAGGGGAGGGTGAGGGGCGGGGACAGCCACTGGTGGGATCACCCGACAGAACCACAGCAGAGAGCCCAAAGAGCCGCATATGGCTTCGGAGCCACAGGTTGCTGACACCCGTGGTAGAGAATGTAGAAGGAACTTATGAAAAGTGATTAAATACCTTGGGTGTGTTTAGTCTGGAAAGGAGATAATTGTGGGGGAGTCATTAGAATTACCTTGTAATATCTGATGGATTGTCATGTAGAGATCAGAGAAGAATTGTTCACAATTGTTCCACAGGACAGGAAACAATGAGTTTAAATTACAATCCAGTACATTTTGACTGAGCGTCAGAAAAAACCATTCTATCCCTACAATCTATTCAATAATTGAACAGACAACCACAGGAGAGAGTGGAGTTTCCTTCACTAGATATACTTAAATAGAGGTGATATGACCATCTGCTGTTGAGGCTCCCGTAGTAGCAGATTTCTGGAGGGGTCAGGGGATTAAATTACATGATCTCCAAAGTCCCTTCCAATCAAACATACTTCAAGTCAATCACCAGAAATTTACTTCCTGCTGAAACTGATTTATGAGGAGTTTGGACATGCTAGTTTTGACCCAAATTCAGTT